ACACACGACACACGACACACGACACACGACACACGGCACACGACACACGACACACGACACACGACACAATTAGGCATGGGGAGGAGATAGACGGAGAAAGAGCGTGGTACCGAAGGTCATCAACGATGAATGGAACGTCGCGGGTGGCGAGGTTGTATCTCTCGAGGAAGGGGAACTGCCGGAGGAACTCCAGGCGAGCCGCCCGCGCCGAGTCCGTTGGACGTGGAACCAGCAGCTCCGACCTGGCCGGTGCCATCGGGGGCACGATGGCCGGAAGAGAGTCCAATCTCTGTGTCAGGTCTGTCGCCACCATCACACGCGTTAACCAGAAACTGCGCACAGGCGTGTGTGGTGGACAGAGCAGCGCACCGTGTTGCATGTTGGTGTAGGTGCGCTGCTTGGCCGACAGTCGGGAGACGTCCTTCTTCATGGCATCTACACTGTGCTTCATGTCCTGCAGCTCGTTGACCAGCAGTTGCAGCACGCTGGGCACCACGCCTGAATTCGCGGCCGTCGGCGGTCGTAGCTCCTCTCCTCGTACGCGCACTCGGTCCGGCCCAGCGACTTGCCTCTCTTCCTCTTCCTCTTGTTCGTCGTCCATGCAATCGCAGTTACCACCACCTCCCGCCCATCTCTTTTTCTCTCTTCCCACGGCTGTTGTTGTTGTGGCTGCGAGTGGCGTGGGGTGTCGCGGGGCAAAAGCGCGAGGTGGCGGAGCGACCGGGAGGTGGCCATAGGGTACGGGCGTAGGGCGAAGAGTCGGCACTGCGCAAGATGGAGGGTGAGGGAAGGAGGGAGCTAGAGGAGGGAGGCGCGCGTACGTGGTTTGGGTGGTGTGGGCTTGGGGGCGTTGGGGTCGGGCTTGACCTTGCGTGGCCGGCCCCGCTTGCGCCGCAGGCTGCACGACCTCGATTTTTAAGTTGCAATCAGAAATTGACAATAAACACGCAGAGAACTTCGTACGGCAACGTACTGTTCACATACAAGGCCAGCCTCGGCACAACCACAGCAACTCCCTCCCTTCATTACGCTACTCATTTATGTTTATTTACACCAGCCTCCAATTTTATTTTTACAATATGCCGTAGGCTTGGGCAGCCACCCATCCCCACCCCCTTTCCTAAAAAGCGATGAAGGGGTCTTAATCTCATTGAAATTTCTACCTCTGCGGAGCCAAGCCGCCAGATCATGGAGGACGCACGGAAGAGCACCTCATGCGCTCCATCCACCGCGAACTCGACGCCATCTTCAAGCACTTCTACCGTTCGCTCCAGATGCTCGAGGACCAGTTCAAGCTGTGCCAGCAGCTACGGGCGCAGGTGGAGGACTACCAGAAGCAGACCGATCTGGTCCGCGCCTGCCTGCTCTCTCTCAACGGCATCACCCACAACCTCGACCAGATTGAGAAGCTTGTTTTGGGCCTTTGAGCAGGTCCAGGCTCGGTCATTGTAGGCCTTACGTGCCCTTCTCCCACACAGATAAGTGTGCCGCGCGAGCCGCTGAGTACTTGGTGTGTTTTTTTATGGTGTACAACGACGGCCGTCGGCGTGATTAGGTGGGCCAGGGGAAGATGTGGTCGGTGGAGAGGGGCCTGAAGATGGCGAAGAATAGTAGGAGGGGAAGAGGAGCCACGACACGCTGTCGGTGATGGGGTCCGAATCTTGTTGCGGTGCGGCCAAAGCGAGAGTCAGGAGAAGATGGACAGGTGAGTCTCTCTGGCAAAGGGAGGGAGAAAAGAGGGGAACGTTCGTACCCCAGATAGTGCTGGCCGGTGGAGGAGGTGCCGAAACAGGCGACACGCCATCAACGCACACTATGTTCCAAGCAGCCTACGCCCACCAAGCACAGCGCTGTTAGACAACGCGAGTGCCCAGGTGAGATGAGAGCTGGAAAGGTACATTTCCGTCGCCGTCAAAGAAGACCTGGGCACGCGAAGAGGTGCGTATGACGCTGCCGTCTTTTCTCCGCATCAGCATCTCAAAGTGGAGGACATCGCCCAAGTCCGGGTGTGCGCTGCAGGAAA